AAAGATTATTCATACAGTAATCTCGGATACCGTCTATGTAGTCAGAGCACAGCCCAAAAGAAAGTCATCATGGTTAAAGAGAAGTACACAACGTATTCTGCAAGCAAAGCGGAAGGCTTGGTTTACGTGGTGGGTATCTAAAAGTCAGATCGACTACGATGCATACCTGGAACTCAGGAACCGGTGCAATGCAAGAGCCAGGAGGGGCAGGAGGTGATTCCAGGCTAACTTTGCTAAAAAACTCATAGCAAACCCTAAAAACTTGTACCGATTTACGTCGGAAAGAAAACCAACCAACCAGAGGGCATGCGCCTTAGTAGGCCCAAACGGTCAATATCTCACTAGTCTGGAGATGGTGAAACATTCAGTTTATCCTTCGCCAAACAGCTAAACAGCAATGTGGGGATTACCGTTACGAACCAAAATAGTGGCACCACTATTTCACAGGAGGAAGACCTAGTGGCTACTCCCCAAATAAACCCCGCAATAGTACTAAGGATGCTACAGCGACTCACACCTGTGAAGTCCCCAGGTTGTGACGACATCAGGCCATCTGTTCTGAAATAGTGCATCGAAGCTCTCTGTTCCAACACTCCATGGAATCGGGGAAACTGCCAAGGGAGTGGAAAGAGTCATCCTTTCTCCGATCCTCAAGGGAGGGGAAAGGCGAAATGACGCTAGTTACAGGCCGGTAGCCCTACTCCCACTGGTATTAAAAGTACTGGAAAGTATTATTGACGATCACATCCGGGATTACCTCGATAGGTCTAATATACTCCATGAAGCCCAACACGGTTTCAGGAAAGGCAGAGCCTGTGTAACAAACCACCTCTCAGCTTGGGACGATTGGACATCATGCTGGGATATGAATGTTCCGGTCCATGTGGTCTTCCTAGACTTTAAGAAGGTATTCGACACAGTTCACCATGACCTTCTCCTACACAAAATAAGCCAGGTAGGTTTAGGTAAACCACTTCTGTCATGGTTGAAGGACAACCTAACTGAAAGGCAGTTTTGCACTAAGGTCAATCGAGTCCTATCATCTTGGCACAGCCCGTCATCAGGAGTGTCGCAGGGTTCTATCCTAGGACCAATGGTGTTCTTGATTTTCATCAATGATCTACCATGCCGTCTAAGCTGCCCGACTCTTCTATACGCTGACGACGTGAAGATATGGAGGGCGATAAAGTGTCCGGAGGACTCAGATAGACTGCAGGCAGATATAATGCTTCTGGAAAACTGGGCGGTGGCCAGTGGCATAATTTTCAGCCTGAAAAAGTGCAAAGTATTGAAATTACGCACCTGTGGGCTGCAGAATGCAAGTTACACCCTGTGCAAAGAAAGCTTGTCCTGCACAGCGTCGGAGCGTGACTTAGGTCTAGTTCTAACGGAAAAAATGGACACAGGCATGAATTACATAGAGGATGTAGTGAGGGTATATACTGTCATGCACTTTACATATGGACAGTTAGGTGCACTCACTCCTGAGCCCTTTTTAGGGTTGTACAAAACATACGTCAGACCACACCTTCGAGTGAACGATATCACTTCACTCCCACTGCTTAGAAGAGACGTCAACCTCTTGGGAAGAGTCCAACGACGGGCAACAATAGGAGTATTTGGTCTCTGAAATAAACCATATGATGTAATGCTGAAGAAATTAGGCCTATTCACACTTGGTTACCGTCGTCTTAGGGGGGATTTAATTACTGCCTACAAAATAGCAAATGACCAGAATCACCCAAACAATGGTGTTCTGCTATTGAGTAGGTATAGGCTCCCTCGTGGAAATCTTAGAAGGATATCTTACCAGAGGGCAAGAACCCGGGTGCTCTCCCACTTCTTTTCACTGCGGGTTTGCCGTCCCTGGAATTCCTTACCGGCAGATGTAATAATAATAATATTTTATTTCTGGAACAGAAACCAGCCATTTTTACAGGCATGAACATATGTACACTAATTAGAACTTATAGAATATATATGATTTGTTAATCTAGAAATAGATTGAATACTGGTAAATTTGAGAGAAATATTTAAAAAGAAATGCACAAATAAGGCAATAGGTAATTTTCGAGATATGCTTTCAACTGAATAATTCATGAGATATAGCATCAAATCAAAACTGTAATTAAAAAAAATACGGTATGTAAATTTCACGCGGGAATTATAAATGATTACGCTAATTGTGGAAGGTAAGTAGCATTTTTGTACAGGTGCTGACGTGAAATATAAGAGATGCGGAATGAACAGTAATTGTAAGTAATTGATTCATAGAGTGTTTGAAAGTCCATAAAACTTCAAATTCACCGGTAAGTACACCATAATTGTGACATTTCCAGTTGTATATGAGACCAACTTTGAACTTGTCAGCAGATTTCATGATAGAGGTGGTTCCGTTATTCACCAGGTGGGTTAGCAGTATTCCGAATTAGTTGAGGATAGCGGCACTGTTTCAGTGCCTTCGTTTAAGGCAGTACCTTTGAAAAGAGAAGAAGACACCGTCTGTGGACGCCTTTAAGCGAAGGCTGGACAACCATGCAGCGACACAAGAACTGCGTCCAAATGGCTTATCCAGTTAAAATCCCATACACCATTCAGGGGTAGACAAATAAACTTGTCGTTTTACTTCTTTACATCCTCTCCCGTCTTACTCTTCTGACATCTTTAACTACACCTATTATTATTATCATTATTACCCGTATATATATATTTCGTATTATTCTTCAAATGTAATCATTCACAGTAGTAACAGTCTTAGCACACCTCATTCTACAAACCACATACAATTAATCCCTGCACTACTCCTTTTGGAGTAAACCGAAGCTACCACAGTCGAGTGGCGGGGCGAGCTACGCAGAAGTTTACCGAAGATCAGGAACCTATACCTCACAATCAAGAGGCGAGCACAAAGAAATCAAATTGGTTTATACTAGTTTGTAAAAACGATATTGGATATTGGATCTAACTGTTGTTACGTTTTCTTATTCTTCTTCTGTCTTTTAGTCTGAATAACTTCACTAATTATATCTATTATTATTACTATCTCTTTTCTTTTGACGACGATACCGGAGGACTAACTGGTGAAGGGATCATCTCCATTCACAGTAGTAACAGTCTTAACACACATCATACTACAAACCACATATATAATCTCAACCAAAGCTACGACAGTCGAGTGGCGGGACGAGCTACGCAGAAGTTTACCAAAGATCAGGAACCTATACCTCACAATCAAGAGGCGAGCACAAAGAAATTAAATTAGTTCATAGTAGCTCGTAAAAACGATATTAGATATTGGAACTCTGTTTTACTGTCCTGTAAATCGAATTGAGAGCATAGCCGAAAACTGTGGGTCATTTGTCAGAGTTTTACAACCCTCTGTCGATGTACGTATACCTCATAATCTACCTATGTTTTACGAACATTTCACAGCCTTCTCCCCGCCCCTATGTTCTCACTTCTTTATGTTTAAAAAGTTGTTGATGCGAGTACTAACCACCTAATCTCTTAACGGGTTTCCTTTTTTTCTTGTTTCTCAAAGTGACAAGGTTATCGGCTGAAAGTAGTCATTCATATCATAGCAAATTTGAATATGAGTGAGTACTTCGTGTAAATAAAGAATGCATCTGAATGACACAGGAAATCACATGACAACAAATATTGAAGATGCATCTCGACTGAGTCTATTACTTTAGAAGGTGAGAGGGTGAGGAGAGCTAATCAGCAGATCTGAGAGTGGGGACATACACGAATCACCCTTTTCTGTGGGACAGCACTGTCTTTTGATACAGCTGCTGAGCTTGAACGACTTCCTCATAAAACAAATAAGAAATCCTAAATGTCAACCCTTAAGTACGAATTGCCTTCTGAACGCAAGTGCATTGTATGAACTCAGTTTTTCAGATAGCCATACTATTGCGTATTTCTCCACCGCAGTATGCACATTACTAACCCTTCTCTTCTTATGTCACTCAACCCCCGATCGATGCCACTATTGTTGCCAATTTGGTTGAAAAGCATGGTAATATGATCATAATAGAAGAAAAACTTCAGATGAGCCGCTTCTTAACGTATCCTCTTTCAAACAATGTTTGAAGCCACCACTCATTCTTGAGGGAAAAACACACGGGGTAGACGTGACGTTTCTGATTCACACCTAGACATCGTCCCCCTTGTCCGTACGGGGAATGTACAGCAATTGGAGATCAGCCCTAAAACTTTTGCCATTCAGCTGCAGCTAATTACCGCGAACGGGGCCCCTATCAATGTGACCAATACTGTTACTCTTCCCGTGACCGTGCATGGGCTCACCTACAACCAATCCTTTGTTGTTTGTGATGTAGTACGATGGGATGCCATATTAGGTGTTGATTTCCTAACTGCGCATTGCGCTGTGATTGACCTAGGGCGTCGCCAGATTCACATGGGGACACATGACGTCTCGTTTGGTTGGTCTGCTAGTTACAACCGGTATGCTAATGCCTGTGCCCTACCTCAGGTGACAACGATAAACACAAACGCAAACTCCTACCCCCATTCAAAAGAACGTGGTGACACTCTGGCACTGCTGCAAGGGCATAGCAAAATGTTTGATGGCGGCCACGCTATGGGCCCAATTACTGTTGTCCAACATGAGATTGAGACAGAGGATAACCTGCCATTTAGGATGCCGCTTCAGTGAGTGCTCATTCACTGTCAACAACAGCTGGACACGATGATTGCCGAAGTTTTGCAGAAGAAAGTAATAAAAACTTCTACCTCGCCGTGGGCATCCCCTATCGTTCCTGTTGAGAAGAAAGACGGCTCACTCCCTCTGTGCGTAGACTATCGTCGCGTGAATGCTATCGCCCAATGGGACTTCCTTCCCTTACCTCGCATATACGCTACACTAGACGATTTCGGCGGGGCTCAGTGGTCCTCTACTCTAGATCTAGCCTTCGGTTATTGGCAGATAGAGATCCATCCTGAAGATTGACCATGAGGCATTGAATATTGGACTACTCACTTTCGAAATTTTACGGCACGTGTCGTCGGCTGAAGCTTCAATTCGGTAGGTGGGAAGTAGATGAATGAGAGATTGAATTTTTATGGACAGTTTGTCAATTCGTAGTCCTAACATTTAGGATTTCGGGTCATCTATCATTATTACTCCCGTTGGTTTATGCTGATAAGACATTGTAGCGTGGAATATATTTTTTCTGTACCCTTGTCCGTTCCATTGCTTTAGTTTAGGTAAATTGTGGCTAAGACAAAAATGGATTTGGTGAATGTTTGTAAAATGTGACGGCTATCTGTGCAACGCTTGAATTCTTCTCTGTGCGTCGGTGGCACAGTGGTTAGGACTCTCGCCGACCATGCACATGGTCCGGGGTTCGATCCCCTACCGACACACACCCGATATCTATGGTCGGCCTGAAAATTTGGGTTACCGATATCCATGCTGAAAATGACATACTTGTACTGAAAATACGGTGTGGCATCAAGCTGTAATCAAAAATTAAAATAATAAAATAATAAAAATATGACGTGTGCTCCTAGGGACGAAGTTACATGCTAAGCACCAAAATGTATTGATGGACAAACGAGCGTTAACGCACCGACCACATATAAAAGGCGACTACGATGTGTTGAAAATGCATATATTTATGAATAGAATAACACGAGGCTGTTACACAGGATACGTTCCTCTGTCATGTGGCAAAAATGTTTCTCAGCTTTGCACTGTTTATGTGGTCTAGGTATTTTATCCCTTACTCGAACCAACCGTAGTATTATTATTACTATTCCCTTGGGTACCGAGTGGAATATAGGACTTCAACAGCACATCTCTACTTCGTTATGTTCCCTGCTGTCCATTTCACCTGGGCCCATGGTTGCTCATAATCTCTCATCTCCTTCTCGCATGGTCTCCATGTCACTCTCTGACGAACCACTCGTCGTTTTCCATTCAGGTTCCACTTAAACCAACCATAGTATCCACCTTAAGAGCTTAACCTAACCCTGAATTGTCTTTAGCCTTAGCCTTTACTTAATCTCTCCCAAACCTAACCTAGAAATTCCCAGATATTGTGTTTAGTATCATAAAACTTCACTCAGTATATTTACTCATGATTATAATGTTATTTGCCTGATTTCACTAGGTTTTCTCTGGACGCTTCAAGGTTATATATATCTTTGCGGTTTCACTCTTCCGGTACTTTTTGATGCTTAAAGTCTAACTTCGGCCTCTTACGTAGGTGGAAATTACGTACTAGGCTGTAGTTAATCTTGGCATTATTTTTGACTGCGTACTTGGTCTTCTTTATTGCTGTAACATTTCTACCCTTCTTGATCTCTAGTGTGAAGTTTTGTGATACTGTCCACACCACGTGCTAGCATTAATTTCATGCATATCTAGCTAGTTTTGATAAATATGGGTTGCATTTCATCTCAATGCCTCATTTATCCAGCTTCTGATAATTTATCTTCAAATTCAATATTGTTCTTACTATTCTGAGTAGTCAGTTAATATCATGTTACATGTATCCTGCCCAGAAACTTGAGCAAACCAGTAAAATATTCTTTTTTGGGATATCAATAAGTGGCGTGTCTGTTGATTTCTTTCATTTGCATAAGCATTTTTTCGGTTTTATTATGTTAATTTAGTGTGAAGTAATCTCTACATTCATTATTCGAAGAATGGTATTCTAAAGGTTAAATCGTCGAAATAGTACTTAGACACAACCTATGGACTCAGTCTGAAACACTTTACAATAAATTCAAACTATCCCTCTTCACTATTAGAGTATCCTTTTTGTCTAAAGGTCCGTGTTTGCTGAGAGCATTTTTCGACATTACTCATCCTTTGTTGATTGCAACTGATTGCATTGTGATTGCTGTGAGGGATATTTAGCTGGCTATTGTCTGCATGAATGATTACCATTTGAGGTTGTAGTTGGTCTGCAAGAGTCTATTTTGACTTGCTGTTGATAAGCTTCATATTTCTACCATATCACGGCAACACCAACGCAACTTATTCTGTATTTGTGACCTTATCTCTGCTTAAGTGAATTGTTTCTTAGCGTTAAACGGTGTCCTTTCCACTTCATACCATCCCTGATATTTGATGTCGAAATCGTGGCTTGAATACTAGAGGCTTGTTGAGCATTTGCCAACCTGCGTCATTTCTGTCGTCGGTGTAGTATCCTGCTATCCATTAAAGGAAGTGTTGTGTTGCAGTTTGGCCTGTCCCATTTTACAATTGAAAAATAGCTATTTAATGTAGGAGATTTAAAAAGGATTAACAGATTTGACTTTAGTTCCTCTTAGTTAGTCGTTCATGCTGTGGACCAATATAAGTTTTAGGTGAAGACGGAAAGTCAGTGGGTTAGAAGCTAAGGAAAGCTTCGTGTGCTTTTGGAGGTGTGTGGGCTGCTGTTACTTCCCTGCTGCCCACACCGTAAAAGTTGGTTGATTCTTCAGGTACCTGGAACAAATTGTTAGTGTTGCGTGACTGCAGAGCCCAGGGCACGACTGCTAAAGGCCAGTCACACACGGTCTGTATAAACTGGTTTCTGGGATTGGTTCCGTATTAGTAAACTCACCGCCAGTTACGGACCACCGTAGGGTAAGTCGGGATATACATTTTTCGGGGTTGACCTTTTCTAACCCCCTCTCTCCAGAGTGGAGAGACAGCATAGCTGGCATGCTGGTCATCTGAGGGAAGCACCTTACTGCTGTTACATTCCTGTTACCCAGTAGTACGGCCTCATCCACAGACCCCCAGCATAGTGTTAAAAAATTCTTACACTAAGTAGGTAACCGCTTTTAGTCTAATCGCTATCCTAACAACCTTCCTGGTATGGTAGGACCTGCAGGAACAATAGTTCCAGCCAGTGTACCTCGTTGGGTCATTGCAATATGCAAGCCCGACCACAACGTCAAGGTAACAGTTATCGGTCGGGAGTGGGCTAGGGGAAGCTCCATTGATTAAGGTAGTTACATATACCACCTCGACGAGCAGTTTTATCTGGAATGGAATTAGTTTGGAAAAGAGCTAAAAGAGGTCATACCAAAACATGGCATCAACCTATAAAATTGTTGACCTTGCTTGAACCACTTAAAGGTGTGGACTATCTGTGTGAGGTCTTTGAGACAAATAGCTTTGATTGTTGGAGTTTCTCGGTGATATGGCGTTAAGTCGTTTACAACTAAGCAAGTATATTCATTTGATGAAGTTTTCTAGTTTCCGAAGGTATTCACTGGTCTCCATTTAATTACTCTTTCACACCTCCGTTCTTTATAGTTTCATATGTATGTTTTTCAGAAGTGTGACGGTGTAGATTGGTGCAATTTTGTGCCAAGTACTAGATTGTTAAGTAATCTTTATGTACAGCTTAGTTGTTTATCTTATAGTTAACTGGCATTATTTTTCAGTGTACGTTACTGAAACCAAACTTTGGATTTAGATTGATTCTGGGCACTGCATATTTGTCCTACTGAAATGAATAATTTGTCCGAAGAAATAACGGAGCCCTCCTCCATACATATCACAGATGACGATCAACAAAAGGCTGGTGATATTTTTATGACCTGTGATGAATTTAGCAAACCGGATTATGGAACTCCAAAGTAAGTTCAACTGTTAAGTAATGACTTCATGCAATTCTTCCCATTAATAAGTAATTAATTAAGTAATGATCCTGTAGTGGTTTTACACCTTACCATTAATTTGTACGTATACTTTTCAGCTACCTGTTTTCTTGCATTTTCAAGATTTTTTGTAGGGGTTTTTGTTTAGAACCTTTCCTGCATATATATATATATATATTTATATAAAGTTCTGTTAGTGCTATTTAGTTTAGTAAAGTATCAAAGACTTCTTGTAATAGTTAGGTATTGAATAGACGATAAATAGTAATCTCAAGAACTGTCCAAATGACAACGAAATCAAAGTGAGATTTACTACTCTGTGTTTTGCGTCTCAACATCTTTTGTGTTAAATGAAATAAAACTGCATTGTGATCGACTAAAAACCTCAAGCTGCAAACTATTTCTACTACACTTTTCCCACTGAGTCATATGGTTCTTGGAATTCTGGCGAGGAAGTCCTGATGGTCAGCTGTGAGTTGAGAAAACCTTGATGCAAATTCACCAGCACTTATTAGTTCCATAATTGAATGACATAGTAATCTTGTTGCGTGATAAAGAAGCGACTGACATTGCTTAAGTATCATGTAGATTAAACTTCAAATTAAATATTAAGAGAATGGTTTCTGGGAAAAAAAACCGTTGTTTCGTATCCTGGCAGTACTTTAAGCTGTGTGCCAACAGTGATATAAAAAGTGTCACTAATGGGTCAGATAAATGTGCGATAAGAATATGAAAACCGTAGGGGCGATAAATAAATAGTGTGTTATGATGCAGGCTACACATAATTAACTCTGTGAATGGGAACAAGAGACAGCAGCTCAACATGAGGGAAGATTATGACCTTATATCCTTTCATGCAACTGGGTTAAGCGTTTGGTAGTATAAATGTCAATTAAAGGTTTTCCACACAAGTCTTACTTAGTCCTGTAACTGTCGAGTCAACATGCAATGGTTATTTGACATTGCCAGTGAATATTCCGAGAAATTCCTCCTGATAGCTTTGCCTGAGTTGCTGGAAATCTCTGGGCTCCAAAATAAAGTTATTTTGTAATGTTCAAGGTATGAAGTTTAAGAGACCTCTTTATGGTATAAAAGATCTACAAATGGTGTCTCGTCTAACTCAAAATACTGCCTTTCCTGGAATAGTCTTATTCGTGGTTTAACTATGTATCTTATACTTATAAGTCAAGCTAATTTAGTTAATCTGGTTAAGTCCATACTGCATTTACTGTGTACAATAAATTTCGCATAGGTCCATGAAATATATTTCATTTGACATTAAAAGTTTCTAGTCTTCAAACAAGAGAATTCTATGGGACATCCCACACTCTTTATTGAATTTAGCGGCCCAGAACAAGTTTGTTAGACTATAAAGCGTAGTTGATGTATTGGGCTTCGGAATAACTGAACTTTCTAGGTCCAAGTATGTTCAATGGAGTTGAACTTCAAAGCAACGTTCAGTTTTCAAGCCCTGAAGTCTCTCTAAAACAAAAGGATTCCTGCTCAGTACTGCTTAGTAGTGATGAAAAAAAAATAATTTCTTTGTATTTCTAGTTCTTTTTTTTATTTTGTCGCTTGTTCTAATTAATATGTTCCCCTCAGTTGTTAGTCAAAAAGTAATCTAGTTTCTGTAATTTTTGCCATTCCTCCGTATAATGATTCATCTGTGGCTTGCAATACTTTCCCTGCTTCAGCGTTTTGGAAAATTGACTGTCAAACTTTCAAAATTATTTGCAGCCTGGCCTGTAAGTCTTCGTGTAGAGTAGTATCCTCCAAGGTAACATTCCTCAACATAAAGCTTCAAGTTATTTTCGGATAACGATATAAAATGCTACTTAGAAATTAATCGAGACTTAGATCTCTCATACATTTATGAGCGTTATTCACTTTAGTTGTTTTTGTTCAGCGTTTTTGGCTGATTTCTCCTTGTTTAGTTTTCTCAAATGAACACATGCATGCAGAAGAAATGATGAATTTATCTGGATCTATCATCGTGATCCGCCTTCTTATGATTAATAAATTCTGTCTAGTTGACTTTATCGCTATGGATTAGTTGATTAGTTGTCATCATTTGATTAGCTTAATTGTGATGGATTTACTTCCAATCATAATTTGTTTTATTTTCTGCAGTGATTATTTCTAACGCTTTAATTGTCTGTCAGCCTGAATCTTGGTCAGATCTTCATAACTTGAAGAGCTTGGTGCTTGTCCTTATCGTTACCTTGTTTGTCTCTTAGATCATATTCTCTTTTTTTTCTTCAGAAAACCGCAACCTAAACGTAGTGGAATCCGCAATGTATTAATCACATCAGCCTTACCTTATGTAAATAATGTACCACATTTGGGGAATATGATTGGATCAACTCTAAGCGCAAGTGTATTCGCCTTATATTGTGATTTAGCGGGATATAATGTTTTGTCTATATGTGGTACAGATGAATATGGTACAGCAACTGAAGCAAAAGCTGTCTCAGAAAATATGACTCCACGTGAAATCTGTGATAAATACCATAGATTACACTGTGATATATACAAATGGTTTCAAATTGAATTTGATTATTTTGGACGAACTACTACAGAAAAACATACTGAGTAAGTGATGGAGTAATGTTCATTTAACATTTCTGTTATTTTGAGAAAACACTGCTTCCATCATAATTTTATTTAATTCCCTAGATACTTAAGTGTACTATTAGTTCTGTTGTCGTTTGATTGTAATAACTTTTTACCGTTTCTACTATAACACCAGCTATGGTTTAAGGAAATCAGCTGCTGATTGGGTTGGAGTCCATTGCCTAGTAGTACTCAATTTTACTTAGTTTATAGCATGGTTGGAGGTAATTGGCAGGAAGCCTTGGACTTAAGTCACGTTCTTGTTAGCAGTCGTCAGCAAGGCGTATCTCCAACCTTGAAAGAACTCATGTCCCTTCTGAGATTCAAACCCACGTCACGCAGTGCCGCAGTCAGAGATGTTACCACTGAGCTATTCTGACCCGCTATTTACCTCCTGTAGAACTTTATTAGATACTTTGATTGGACACTAGGTAGTAGTTTGTTTCATGCGTCTAGTCTGGTTACTACCTGGTGTCCAATTAAAATAGTTGTAGTTTCATTTGATTCTTCAGAATAGTCAGAAAATGTACATAAATCAGTCACATAAGGGTTATTTATAAATCTTCCAAATTATTGAAGTTCATCGACTAAGTAGAGATGGGCTTCATTGGCTTAAGCATTTGACTGTCAGCCAACAGGTCCTGGGTAACTAGGCAGTATTTCAACCTGTCACACGATAGGTGTGCCTTATAGCCTTGTGCATGAAAAAAAACTTGTTCCAAGAAGTTGAGAATAAAATTCGTGGATCGACTGAACTTTGAATGTGGAACACTATGCTAAACAATATATATATATATGTTGTGTATGTCACCATTTAATTCTAGACCTATGTTTGATGCTTGTTGGAATTACCCATTTCAACGTATTTTGAAACCTTAAGGAAGCTTACATTTCCTCAGAGATGTAAATCCCTCAACCTTAACATGAATAACTCCAAATATGTCGCATCTTGTCGTCGTTGTTAAGCTTAAAGGATAATTGACTTGTTAAAATGACGATTACATCCTCTACATAATTTGTATAAAATAAGTATAGTCGATTTCTTAATTCAAACTTACATTTAAATATACCATTCTATTATATCGATGTAGTGAAAATCAGTTGTACTGAGGCCTATTTGATACTTTTACTGAAATATCAACTGTATTAGCGCAATATATAAAGTAATGTAATATCGTAAAGGTATTCATTCAAAATATGCATGTAAAATGCGCTTCACTTCGGTTGTCTAATTCATTCAATACTTGTCAGTAGCACATGTCTCATGATTCCTTTGAATTTCATGCTTTTTGCGTAACGAATATCGTTTAATCTTCCCATTATCGCATATATATATATACATATATACATATATACATATATATATATATATATATGTATATGTATATATATATATATCGCTCCAACATTACTGGTAAAACTACCAGTCTGACTTTCTGTTATTCGTTGGAGGATTTCATCATGAGCTGACATCAGTTAGAAAACCACTGGAAAACCTGGGAGTACTGGACAGCTGTTTCGTCCTAGTTTGGGACTCCTCATCAGTACGCACCCACCGGGGTTCGAACCCAGAACCTTCTGGTTACAAGGTGAGCTCGTAGACCATTAAGCCTGTATCTTTTTTAGATATCCTCTTTTTAAAAGTACTGTTTATCGGTAATTTAAAACAATATATCAGTCTGTTAATATTCTAATTTCATATATTCAATAGAAACGAATGTATTCAATTGGATCACTTTGATTCTTATTTTTTTTACAGGATTGTACAGAGACTGTTTAAGCGTTTATGGGATAAAGGTTTTATCAGTGAAGATTCTGTTGAACAGCTTTATTGCGAAAAATGCTCAAAGTAAGATTTTAATTATTTTTTGTTTTGTCTTCACACTGTCAACTTTTTAAATGGATCAAATTATATAGTGAATAGCCACGTAGATTAATTATTTTTAATTAGAAGTTTAACATCGAGTATTAGGAGTGTCTTTCATCTTAAATGTTTAGTTAGCTAGCAACATTGGCACACTATATTATTCTATTTATTTGTGTTAAGTTGAGCTAAAATGATTCCGCGACCATTGTATCTTCCAGTAAGTGCTTAATTGTTTATGTAAGCGAAATAAGTAATGAAATAAAATAAAACTTAATGCACAAAGGCAGTTGGGTCTCGTAGCTCACTTGGTACAACACTAGAATAGTATCTTGTAGGCTAGTGGTTCGAATCCTATCGCAGACCAGATTTCCATGCTCCTCACGTGGTCTAGTGGTGGGAATTCCTAGCTCTCACCTTGGTAGTCCGGGTTCGATTCCCTGCCGATACATATTTAAACTTCACCAAATTTACTAACCAATGGCGAGTCTGCAGATGGGTGGAGATTAGGCGTGAGGCTAGCAATTCTACCTCGTAAAACAAAAAATCTTCATATCTTGAAGCCCTGTTTTCCACTTGGAACGCAAAAAAATAGAAAAGGAATACAGGAGTTATCAGGTTTGTCAACCGAAATCATAATTCTGTTAATAACTGCTTGATTTATAGAAATGTAAAGCGTGTTTTACTGTTAGGACACTCAGTCATCAACAGTCATCAGACTGTGGATTCTAACTTTCTCCATTTTAAACCTTATTGGTGGGGTAGTGATATTTTTAGTCCAGTGTGTACGTTAAATATGTGTCATTCTTGTCTTCAAAGATGTATAGAGTGATATTATGTTAACCTTGGTATCTTACCCAATAGAGAGTGACAGTAAATGATGTGCAACTGTGTCAACCTAATTTGAACTTTTAAATATTTGCCTCTCTATACAGCTGTGTAGATGTGGCTCATTGGCTTAAGCATTCGACTTCAGTCAATTAATCCCAGGTTCGAGTCCTTTTCTATTTGATTTAGCTTGGACAAATGGGTAATATCATTAGTCTTGACAAAATATGTTTGACTCATCGCCTGATACGCAGAAAGTCTGTTCCGGGTAACTGAGTCCAAACGAACCAAAAAGAAATTCGATTTACTGTAATCCCTAAATTGACATCGAATTACTTCTTCACTAGAACTCGAATTCAATGTGCAGTTGGACTTTTCCTGGTATTTATGCATTTTTGATATTTTTTTTAGTTTATAAAGTACTAATATATTAATTATTCTGTCTTTTGTATCCAAAGATTTCTAGCTGATCGTTTTGTTGAAGGAATTTGCCCGTTGTGTAAATATGACGATGCTCGTGGCGATCAATGCGATAAATGTGGACGTCTTATGAATGCTGTTGAACTTATAGAACCACGTTGTAAAATATGTCGTCATAAGCCAATTGTGCGCTCATCACGTCATCTGTTTCTTGACTTGCCCAAGGTAATATTATTATTTGTACCCGTTCCTTTATAATGCATTTGATGATAATTTTTGGGTTAGGGTAAGAGCTATTTTTATCCATTCTTTGCGTTGCAAGTGGAGTCATCGGGCTTCAACCTCATACATACCACCACCATTCCAGTAGCTTCTCTGTCATCACTTTTTGTTGGCTTCACAACTGCCCAGAAGCTTTCATTTCATCCTCGCATAATCTTCTCCAAGTCACTTTGTGGTATCCATTTGGGTTTCACTCAACAACGTCCAGCATATGTCCACTCCATCTCCGTTTACTTCAACTTATTTTTCGAGTAATATATTCTTGACTGGTTCGCTGCACTACTAGAGTTCCTCATCCTTTTCGTCCGATCGACTGTCTAAGCTTCACTGTTGAGGTAGCGAAGGCAGGTATTGGTAAAAGTCTGCAGTAGTCTGTTGGAAATCCTTTTGGTGGCACGCGTGCCATGTGTTTGAATTATATAGAAGCAGTGACTTGACATTGATGTTGCGAATTTTGATGCTGTTCCTTGTGCTGAGTGCTGCAGATCTTAATACTGTTTTCATAGTGTCGGCTTCCTTTCTCGTTCCGATCTCTGCATGCTTTGACATCCTCATCCGTGCCGCTCGTGGTTAAAACGATACCGCCTGCCCAGATAAGTGAAATGGACGACTTCCTTTCGATTCCTTCCATTTATGGGGAATGATGTTAGTAGTGTGTCGAATATTTTCATCAACTCTATCTCCTCTGCTTCTGGACTATAATAAGAATAAGAATAATAAATGTGAGATAGTAATCAGTAGCTTGTGAATTACTAACCTGGTAGTTCTATAGATTAAATTATGTCTCACTCTGATTTTAGTCATCTACGAATGACATCTGAGTTTTGTAATTAAGTTAGCAGACCGCTGGTTACATAAATTCGCAAGGCACTGGTTTGAATTTTGTTATAATGTAAGTTTTCTTTTCAGCTCCGATTAGTATTTGTCTGTATCCTCGCAATTATTGTCCTTCTACTGAGTAGGAAATATTTTCAATCTTATTAGGTAGGATATTTATATGTGATTAAGAATTATCGTCTATTTTTTCTTCTTTTAGATCGAAAGTAAATTGAGTGCGTTTATTGAACAACGCGTAGACGATCCTTCATGTATATGGACATCAAATGCTTGTAACATATCAAATACATGGCTAAGAGATGGTTTAAAGCCAAGATGTATTACACGTGATCTGCACTGGGGTGTACCAGTTCCTCTGGAAAATTTTAAGGAAAAGGTAATTATGAGTGCTTAATTCACACACACACACACTCACATACACAGTGATAATATTGAACATTTAAAATTGTATCATGTAGTAAGTGGTGTTTTGCCTAATGTGAAATTCTATATTATTTATGTTATGATTGTTCTTCTTTTGTGTATTATCTAGGTATCTTCTGTAATCTATAACAGAATAGAATTTTTAAGTGTAACACTTATCTCAAATAACCTTCAATGTCCTTATTTTAACTCTCTCATAGTGAGAAACTTGAGATCTGTTAAGTCTAAACATCATACATGTGTTTAGATGAAATATCTGCTAGTTGTTCTTCACATAAGTAAAATTATTAGCAAATATCTATACAGCCTCAATTAAATTTTGCTAGCTCAGTTGTTTAAAGTCCATTACCCAGAACATATCTTTCATATACCAGGCTAAGAGCCACATCTATCATGTGAAGACTGGCTGACACAAACCAGTTACCCAGGCTGGAGCAGGTGTAGAGCAGAACTCGAGTGAGTTACACGCTCATACCTTATCTTACCAGGCTTGAGGTTATCAAATTAGGTTATGTTTAATTGAATTCTTCACATATTATTATTTGGTGGCCATGAATAAGGTTCATCCCAGTACATTTGTATTGGCTGTAAGAATCTATTATTACTATTATTATTTTATTATTATTGGGTTTTCTGCTTAGGTTACTAGGCTTCATCGATTTTGTTTTTCCTTACGCCACCAGTCATCATTCCAGATAGTTCAGAAAACGATACCAAAAGCAGATAAAAATAGTTTATGTGTTTATGTTTCATATATATATATATATATATATATATATATATATATATATATATATATGGCAATAAGTCACACTCTGTATACAACAGTCGCCACTCTGGTGGATTGAATCAGTGAGATAATCAACATTATGGTGTACATGGTATGTAGGTCACATGCCATCAACCTTCCGTTATCTTCCCTCAATATTTATATCTGTAGGCAATTTTACTTTTCATATTGAAAATTATGCGTATAATAAGTAAATAAAGACGGTATTTGTGATACATATTTCTTTTATTGTTTGACAGTTAGTTGATAAACTAAATCCTTGGTATCCCATAATCTTTATGATATGTGTTTTAATCACAGTTATATCAAATGGATTGTATCATATGTTTATGTTATCCTTGAACCCAGTGGTTGAATGATCAACAAGCTGACCTCACAACCTGAAGGACCTGAGTTTGATCTCCGGCGAGGTCATGGTTGCGCATCCCGAATAAGGACGAAATAGCTGCCCAGTGCCACCTGCTGTTTTTTTTTGTGACACACCTACTGGTACCCAAAAATTACTAACTCTGTGCTTTAAATAAAATAAACAAATATGTTATCCTTGAAGGAAATTAAATTAACTTTGAACCAGTAATTCACTTTTTGCAGCGAAGATAAACCGTCGCTAGTTTCGCATATGCCAGTTTACTCCGTCTCCGGCGTAGACGCGATATCCGACTATTGACCAAAGGACGTGTGTACTGCTCAACAGTCCGCTCTGTCCTCCTTTATGGCTGTGCGACCTGGCCATTGAGAGCAGAAGACATGAAAAGAATAGCTGTCTTCGATCATAGGTGTCTGCGTTCTATCTCCCGTGTGAAGTGGTATAATAAGGTGAGCAATATTGAGGTTAGGCGTCGAGTGCTAGGTAACGTGGGGAAATCAATAGACGAGACTGTGAAATTACATCGACTGAGATGGTTAGGACATGGGCTACGTATGCCTAGTCATCACCTTCCCCGACGGGCAATGTTAGCTGATATAGGGTCAGGCTGGAAAAGGGCTAGCGGCGGTCAAACGAAAACATGGCACCAGTCAATGAAATTCACAACAGTTAGTCTAAGCCACGTGGGGAGGTGTAGACTTCCTGACTGGTTGGGGTCCTCAGGACGATAAAAACCAATGGTTGGAAACAATTGGTGACATGGCTCAAAATCGTTCTCAGTGGCGCAGATCCATCCACTCCTTGTGACTCATGATTTCCAGTTAAACTTTTGTTTTTCGTTATTACTATTCCTTTGTCTCACACCTCTGTTTACTGTCTCTATTATGCATTTCTCCTACTTTCTTCTCTTGCTTTGTGTGCTACATGGAGTGTGGTGACTTGAACTGCCGCACATATGTGCAGTGTTCTATGTCGAAAACTGACCGACCGAGGTAAACCGTTAGTTTTAAATTCGAATTCAAAGAACGTGCAGTTTTCTTGGAAGGTTCACTTCATTATGCTTGTGATGAAGTTCTGATGCAAGACTATTTTAATGTGTCTTTGATTCAATCGGCTATTGTTCACGGTGTTACAGCCGGTTGCTTTACACACATTTATTAAAACCTACAACTGGGTCCACAAATATACACTGGGTGATGGTGGGATAGAAATGCTTCATTTATATTATATATATATATATATATCGTTGTTGAAAACTTTGCAAGGAGTAAAATTAGTATTGTGCTATTTGCTAGACAATTTAAATCTGCTGGTTTTTTAAATATTATCAAGAATAACCTGCATAATAAAGTACCAGGTAAAGTGTAAACTCTTTGCATCCCTTGATAATTCAAATGCAGTCCAAGTTAACCGTGGCATACATGATTAGGAACATTGAATACTCTGTGTAATTTAATTAATTTGATTCTCGACCGGAACTGAGACTTTCTCATCCATTCACTATAAATACACTAATGTACAGCCTCGTTGATGACTTCGTGGAAAGGAAAACATTGAATAAGTCATGAATATGTTTCAGTGATGTAAGTCTAAGGGTACTAACGTTCAACTTGAAAATGAAGCGATCTGTAGTCACTTAGTCAGGTTTTCATACTCAAGTTGATTTAATTTTTCTACAAACATTGAGGTTAGGCATAGTGTATTAAATGCGTAGGGAGGACTGAACGAATGCACTTGGGAATCTGCATTGATTGACATGGCTAGCATACACATGTTGCGCACTCTTAGCCATCGTCTTCCTCATCAATCAATGCTAGTTGACGTAGTATTAGGTTGGAAAAAAACTTAACGGTGGTCAAATCAAAACCTGGTATCAATCCATAGAGTGTTTAACAGTTGGTTTGAGCTAGTTAAGGGAGGTTTAGGCCTTTCAACTGAAACCTTTAAGACGCTAAGAAGGAGTAACTGAAAACTGTTTGTGACATGGGTAAAATTCATTTTGATAAAGTCTCAGAGTGTTATACAGTAATATTTACTGATGACCACGTTTCGAGCACAATGTATTACTGCTCATAGTCATATCAAGGCACTACTCACACAAATTTCTAACTTCGTTTATATAATTGCATTATTTTCCATCGCTTGATTTGATTGGTAGTAGTATTTTCTATATTTCCGGTATGAGTGATGCGTCATTCTTATTGCACGTGTTGGGTGTAGACTCAATGAACAAGGAATCAGTAATCAACCTCTCTCGCTCTCCAACTACCTATATTGCTTCTTAGAATTTCAACCCTCTTCCACCCTGTTGTGTGGTTGGGTGTTAATGCGTGCAGTGCAATTCCTGATGTTTTTTCTAAATTACTCATCTTCTCGGGGTCAACCATTCTAACCTTAACTAAACTCTTGTGTTCCATCAATCTGACTACGCCGATCTACTAGTTTGACCTTTGTAGTTGACCTCACAGTCATTGCAAGGTATTTTGTAAATTATATTATTTTGTCTAATAGGGTCATCTGGGTCCTTTAACTTACAGAGCTTGTCCCTGAGTGAGTTTGTAGGTTTAAATGCCACTCTGTTATTATTACTAGTTTCACAATTATTTTTTATTTCGCTTTTGGTGTTTCCTGATCTTCGTAATGAATTTTATAGGATAGTAATTTAACACCAATCCCTCTTCTATCTGTTTCATCTCATCGTTTAGGTTTTTCGCTGTACTACTTAACGATATTACTCGGCTTGTTAGACACTTAACTAAGCCTGCCTTAACAGTTAACGGGTGAGATGAATTTAAATCTAAATATCTATTAGAATGCGTTGGTTTTTTATAAACGCTACTGTGCAGTTTACCTTCTTCTATTCTTTTTATTTAACAATCTAAGATAGCTCATTCTCTTTGTTTATTTTTCGAATCGAATGTGAATTTTGTTCTCTTTACTAGTGATTATATATGTGTGTGAAGAAATCTACTGTTGTACCATATAAGGAGGGGATATCTGAGACCCTACGTAGGATTCTTATTAAAGCAGGAATTAGAGTGGCATTTAAACCTACAAACTCACTTAGGGACAAGCTCTGTAAGTTAAAGGACCCAGATGACCCTATTAGACAAAATAATATAATTTACAAAATACCTTGCAATGACTGTGAGGTCAACTACAAAGGTCAAACTAGTAGATCGGCGTAGTCAGATTGATGGAACACAAGAGTTTAGTTAAGGTTAGAATAGTTGACCCCGAGAAGATGAGTAATTTAGAAAAAACATCAGGAATTGCACTGCACGCATTAACACCCAACCACACAACAGGGTGGAAGAGGGTTGAAATTCTAAGAAGCAATATAGGTAGTTGGAGAGCGAGAGAGGTTGATTACTGATTCCTTGTTCATTGAGTCTACACCCAACACGTGCAATAAGAATGACGCATCACTCATACCGGAAATATAGAAAATACTACTACCAATCAAATCAAGCGATGGAAAGTAATGCAATTATATAAACGAAGTTAGAAATTTGTGTGAGTAGTGCCTTGATATGACTATGAGCAGTAATACATTGTGCTCGAAACGTGGTCATCAGTAAATATTACTGTATAACACTCTGAGACTTTATCAAAAGAAATTTTACCTATATTGAAATTAAAATCTACCACAGGGCACAAGTTTTATTCCTATGTGTTTGTGACGTGGTTGATAAAAAGTCGTTTTCTTTGGTGCAGATGCATTCACTCTTCGTAATCTCTCAGATCCATTAAGTTCTCAATATTCTTTACGCATATACCATCTTTTACTTGTACATTTCTATCTATTTTAGCCTTTTTGCATTTCTTTTCTCCTCTACCTTTGTTTCTTTTCTTTCTCAAAGTGTGACAACTTGAACTGTTGCCTTTTTTGTATATGCAAAGTTCTACGTTTAAAATTCAGCTTATTTCAGTTGAATAACTGTAATACTCGTTTATTTCACAACTTCTACGCCTACTTTTTATGTTCATTATTATATGGTTTAACCTTTGTCGTCTTCTTTACAATATGGTCAAAGTTATTTTATGTTGACTAATTTGGATGATTGTACCTTCACTCCGCAGGTTAAGATTGTTTGTTATGTAACATAAGGTTGTTTCTTTTTTGACAAAAAGGAGACACCACCACTACCTTTATTTTCTACTAAGGTTTATATGATTGACTGAGCATAGTGTTTTCCAAAGTTTCCTTTATTTCAGCGTTACTTCATATAATGTATTATGTTATCTGTAGGCTTAATTTTCAATTTTTTTTATTCTTCAGGTATTTTACGTTTGGTTCGATGCGCCTATTGGTTATTTATCGATTACAGCGAATTATACAAAACATTGGCAACAATGGTGGCAACCGTCTATTCAGTCTGGTGACGATGAAATCGAAGTGGAATTATTTCAATTTATGGCTAAAGATAATGTTCCCTTTCATGCAATTATATTCCCTTCATGTCTGTTAGCAGCTGATGATGGTTATACTCTTGTAAAACACTTATTATCTACAGGTAAGAGAATATTGTATTTTATTATGATAATATTATTATACCTTTGGGTTCCGGGTGGGACATGATTTCTTTCTTCCCTATGTTCACTTGAATTCCTGTCTCCAATGCCTACCTTTCCTGCCATCTTGTTGGGTTTTGTCTGTAGATCTTCGATTTTGTGCGAAATTAGACATAGATTACTCATGAAATCCAGATCTTCTAGTCCTTTTATCGGTCTAACTTATACTCATCTTCTTGCTCCCCTGCGGTCTGCACATTATCCAGTCAGCCTCAATTAGGAATGTCATCGATGATGGTCGGCTGCCTTGTCTTACTCTTGTCTTCACTTCGAGCTTAGGTAGAGATAGCCATAATAAAATACATGCTGTCGATAGTATTTGTGCCAGTACACAAGAAGTGGAAACTCTGCTTGTTGCATTTTCTCACATAATAAAGTGTCTCATGAAAAAGTGGCTTAAGCGCATAGTTTTTTCCTGTTAGAAGTGATTTACGTATAACATTTACTTATTGTCATGGTATGTTATTCACGGCAGACAGACTTTATGACAGTTCACCAATCTGTGTGACCTGACTTTGTCTCGTGATTATCATGGGATTATTGGTTATTTTAATGTAAACTCCCGCCACTGGTGGTTTACCTTGGATGAGTATTATTTATTCTATTTCTTATATACACGTATATGTAATTCACTAATCATTTTGTTCCAGACATCAATACTATCCGGTATGTCTTTGTCCTTCCTTGAATGATAGTTGTCTTTATATTGTTATCTTAGTGTAATTTTATTATTACCTCTATATTTTAAAAATAGATAAAGTTTACGTTAAGTCACTTCCATGAAATGAGGCTGATCAGGAATTAGGTCACGAATTGGTTTCAGTTGGAAAACCAGAGACTGTTGGACAGCTGTTTATTCCTAGTTTCAATGGTCTGCATCCATGACCGTGCCAGAGGTCGAAATCAGGACCCTCAGATTAAGAAGCCAGGCCGTTGACGTTTCAACCACTGGTACGGAAGTTAAAACTATTGGACTACTAGATTCCGTCCGTAACCTGGAAGTTCGGACCCCGGTAGGGTCATGGGTGCGTTTTGTTGAAGAGTCCCAAAGTAGAAAGAAAGAGCTGTCCAGTATCCCCTGATTCTCAGTGGTTCTTTAGCTGAAGTCAATTCTTCATCTAACTTGAAATCGAGCAATTCCCTGTACATTGGTCCAGTTGAATCAACAGGAATTCACAAATATGAATCAATTTTATTAATTAATTCTAAAATTTTTGTTGTTTTAATAATGGTTTATTGTGATGCCTTTTAAATATTTGCATTTTCCAGAGTATATGAATTATGAAAATACTAAATTCTCAAAAAGTCGGGGAATTGGCGTATTTGGTGATGACGCGATGAACTCTGGAATTATATCAGATGTTTGGCGATTTTATTTATTATATAGACGACCTGAATCACAGGTTAGTTTTTGATACTGTTGTGAATAATATTTATTTACATATTTAGTAATTCTAATTATGCTGAAATGAGTCTGGAAATACGCTCCACTAAGGATAAAGGACAAGATTCAGATTTTCAACACTAATGTCAACTCAGTCAGTCAGTTCTTCTATATAGAGTTCAGAGACTTGGCGTGTCACCAAAAGCATTTAGAACAACCTACTTAAGACTTTTATGAACAGTTACCTTCGCTCTATACTGAAGATGAGATGACCTGCGAGAAGGGATTAGCAACAAGGGACTCTGGGAAAGAACCAATCGGGGACCTACTATGCAAGCGACATGCCGAAGAAGGTGGAGGTCGATCTGACACACACTGAAAAGACCTTTGAGTGACTTCGCACCGCCGGACGACCCCCGAATGTAACCCCTATGGCAAACGGCGAGTTATGCGTGGGTCTTAAGGTGACAGAGGGGAGGCCGTATGATGAGGAAATGAGAGGCAATGGACAATTGTGGAACCAGCCAGCCAAAGACGGTTGTAGTTGACAGGATGAAATGGAGATGTGCTGTTGAAGCCCTATGTTCCATTCTGAACTTAAGAGGATAATAATAATAATAATAACACTGATCAAGTGATTACAGTAAACAGATAATCCAGTAAAATGGTCGAGATCACTTTTATCTTCCTCATGTTAAATACACTCACTGCTAACTGATATAAGAGTAGAACTTAGACATTGTGATAGAGTAGAATTCTATCACAGAATAAATTTATTTGATAAAAATACACATAGATACAGCATATAGTATCATGCATGATAAAATTTTACTATTTCACGATTTGCATTTATTTTTTGTTGGTTTTGTTTTTCAAAAATCAGGATAGTGCATTTATCTGGGAAGATTTCATGTTGGTAAATAACTCAGAATTGTTAAATAATCTGGGTAATTTTATCAATCGGTAAGTGTAGTTTAGTGGTTGTCATTTAGTCTATGAGTGTTTATGTAAATGTTTTAATGTTTTTAACCGTTATTGTTTACAAAATGCGTTGTCTTATCAGGTGATAATAAGGTGTGTACACAGTGATTAGCAATAGTCAATAAAATGTATCGATCCTGTTGTGTGTTTTTTTAATGTGTCATTGACACATGGTGGTAATGCATATCTAACACGTTTATGGTATCCGTCTATGGTCCTTCCTAATGGTGTATCCATAGGGATTCCTTCTACTTATCTATAACGCATAATCCTTTGTACTAGTGACGCTATACCTCCATCTTCGTTAGGCTTGCTAACATTCAGGTCCTTATTTCTTCTCGACTGTCACAAAAGTTTCTGTGTTGTTTGGAGAAAGAATTTGTAGAATCGCTGTTATACATGCACTGTTAGTAACTGTCACCTAGACAATTTTTAAATTTTGTTAACTCATCCTTAAGTAATGGAATCAAGTTAGACATTCGGGAATATAAATTCTCAAAGTGAGTATGAGCATCTAATTGACTTATTTTGTGTGGAATCTATGCTTAACAATCATACTAAATGGTGGCAGCCCAGTAGTAATTTCAATGATCTAAACCAATGGCTAACAGTCTTAGGAAATTACAGCAGAAAGGAATAGTTTTAATCACGACATGTTACCCGGTGAAGCCAACACAGACAAGCTCACCACGGCTATCTAGTCTTCCTAAATTGCATAAACCCCAGTCTTCTTCGTTTGAGTTTTTATAAATGTACAATCTACACCAATGTACTGTGAATTATTTTTTTTATTCCTTCACGTTCCTAGTGGAACATAGGGCTTCAAGCTTGTGGCTTGAAGTTTCTGTAGCGGTGTTTATTTTACAGGATGGGGTTGCTAGCCTCATGCCCAACCTTTCCTCTTCACCAGCATTATTTCTGGCTTAGCTAGGTAAAGGAGTGCGTCGGCTGGGAATCGAACCCCGGACCATGTGCATGGTCGGCGAGCGTCCTAACCGCTATACCACCGACGCACACGTGTAAGTAATAATATGCATAAAAATATACTACTAGACTGAATATCAGGTAAAATTAAGAAAATTAAAACAATCAGTCCCTTTTATAAATTTGGATAGCGTTATTAGAAGACGAAGATTATCTGAAAAGGTATGTGATGTATTTGCGCTATACATTTCGAACAATCTGATCCTTCATACATTTACTTGTCAAGTCGATATATATGAAAAAGTTAAATTAAAGAAAGCGACAGAAAAAAGAATTAAGAATAATTAACACAAACGTTTGGTAATCCAATCAAATAAGGATTACCAAGGTAGGTTAAGAGTAATAACAAACTGTTTTTGAATAGCTATAGCCTCGGCGTATTTCAATAAATGACGTTTTTATAAATGACCTTAAAGGCTGAGTTAACATTAATTTTATGGTTCATCTCGATTAGGTGTTTAGCTTTAGACGAAGTTGGTAGTCAGATAATCTCCGTCTTCTAATAACGCTATCCAAAGATTATAAAAATTAATGCAACTATTAAAGATGACAGTTAAGCCAATAATAACTTGTAAGTGGCTTAAGGCGGTTGCTGAAATTGTGAGATTTTAACAGTCTAGTAATGATAGCCAAGGTAATGAAAGTGGTTGGACAAACTTCTTCTGAACACAAAAGTTTGGCTTCTTCAGGTAGGTGGATTCTGATGGCTTCACCTATATGTTTAGGAAGACGAACTCGTAAGGCGAAAGTAATATTAGTCACAATGCGATAAGTAAATTTAAATGTCATATATGTGGGTCCCTTGATAAATTTCGATAGAGAAAGAAAGACCAGATTCGTAGTATAAAATGATATCATTCTATTTCACAGGTTCTCATCAGCTGCAGACTACTTCAATGTTTGAAAGGTAATAGTTAAAACATTATAAGATGAACGCATCCGGAATCTAAGTATTACTACTACTACTATTACTACGATTTGCTGAAGCAATTCCAATCAAACGTTTCAGACCAAACTTATGCACACAAAAAGAGAGTGTAGACAATCTCTCACTCCCTCGGTAACCGTATTACTTTCATTGCACTGATTAGTCATACACACTGTTGAGCTCAGCTCACTAAGCAAGTTTTCAGTTTGATGAACTTTAACCTTTTTGAGTTGTTATATTAACGTACAAGCTAACGCTGTTAGATTTTTCTGTCTTCTCTCACCCCCTTTTTCTTTCATAGCTTGATAGCATATATAAATTGATGGTCACTTAAACTAAAAATAACTGTAATACTTATTTTCTATAGTTTGGTTTGTAAGGATTAGTTATGTTTTACGAGTTGATCACCGACTGATATCAGTTAGAGAACCATTGAAAACCAGCACTGGGGTACTGGACAGCTGCTGTTTCATCCTAGTTTGGGAATCATCGGCAGTACGCACCCACTACCAGGGTTCGAACCCAGGACCTTCTGGTTACAAGGCAAGCTGGCTCGTATACCATTCAGCCACTGGGACCCGATTCGATGGCTCATGAATTCTAACTTCTACCAATTCGTGATTTCAATGGTTCTCTAACTGATATCAGTCCGTGATCAACTAGTAAAACATAACTAATCCTTACAAACCAAACTATAGAAAATTATTCTGATGCTCGCTAGTGACTTGCTACAGGTTGGAGCTTCCTGCAGTTCTAGTGAGAAGTCGTGACCAGTGAGGCGCAATTAGAAGTCACGTGTGTGGATGGATGTCTCACCAACGACAATAGTTGGGGTCGCGCTAAAATCACGAATTGGTAGAAGTTAGAATTCATGAGCCATTGAATCGGGTCCCAGTGGCTGAATGGTATACGAGCCAGCTTGCCTTGTAACCGGAAGGTCCTGGGTTCGAACCCTGGTAATGGGTGCGTACTGCCGATGATTCCCAAACTAGGATGAAACAGCAGCTGTCCAGTACTCCCTGGTTTTCAATGGTTCTCTAACTGATATCAGTCGGTGATCAACTTGTAATACTTATATTCTGGATGCGTCCATCTTTTAATGTTTTCACTATTACCTTTCAAACATTGAAGTATGAAATGTCATTATTTATGAGCAGTGTAATTTTAGGTAGTCACTAGTGTGTATGACTAATCAGTGTAATGGAGGTAATATGGTTACCGAGGGAGTGAGAGATTGTCTACACTCTCTTTTTGTGTGCATAAGTTTGGTCTGAAACGTTTGATTGGAATTGCTTCAGCAAATCGTAGTAGATTCACTGTCCGTTTTATGTTGAATATTTTGAAAGATTTGTAAATCTTGACAAAATGACCCGTATTCATAGGGTGTCTGGTAATTGCACTGTTGTAATTATCTGCTTCCTTTAAGCATAAGTTTCTTGGAATATGCTCTGAAAACTGGATAGAAGTCCTTCTTTCTGTGCTTCCAATGTACTTGCTGCCGCAGGTGCACATAAATTTATAAATGTAGTTGGAGATAACGTCACCAGGCTGCTTATCCAGTTTCAATTGGCTTATAGGGCATGTAGTGCTTTATAGTGTCACCAGCTTAGCTGCAGGGAAGCATCTCTTTATTGCTCCTTCCATCCTCTTTTCAATCTTTTGCGATACTGTTTCTCCTTTGAATGGGAGACGAATGAACACTTTCTTCTTTTCAACTGTTGAATACTTCGCTTTCTCGTCTTTTTCTTTACTGTACTTTAGGATAAATCCCTGTGGATACCCGTTTTCCCTGATGCATTTTTCAACAAAGCTTAATTCTTCTTCTACCCTGTTAGGTGAACATAACCTCCTGGCCCTGTCGTACAGTGCCCTTAGTAATCCCCGCTTATACCTTATAGGGTAGAAGCTGTTGTACTGAAGGTATTGTCCAGTCAAGGTTTCTTTTCTGTAGATGAACTTTTCAAGCGTTCCATCGTTTCTTTCTCTATCGAAATTTATCAAGGGAACCAAATGTATGAAAATGTTGATAATCCTTTTCGTGACGCGAGGAGGATTACCAGCTTTGTCTACCTGAGCATGAGTGTAAATTATGTTTCTTCCCGTGTTTAGTTCTCGGTTGCTCGGTAGTGAGGAAGTTGAAATCTGCAGACGTAGAGACTTTTATTATCGATTTTGCACTAGATATCGTTTATGTATGTGTTGTTAAGACTGTAAGTCATTTCCTTCACATATACCATCTAGGCTAACACAGTAATTTCTATATTAATCGCTTTCTCTTTCTTATTATTTTCAATAATAGATCGCTTTCATTTGTCTCACGATTTTTCAATTCAATTATACCATCAATAACAAAATTAGAACCTGTTGATACAGAATTCTTGGCTAGAATTAATAAAACTTTTGCTATTTATATACGAAATATGGAATCATGTCATCTTCGTGATGCTATACGAAATGTACTGACTATTGCTCGTCTTGGTAATGGTTATTTTCAAGCGAATCAACCATGGGTTACTGTAAAGAAACCAGAGACAAAGTATGTTTGTTATAGATATATATTTACCTTTGACAATTTTATTGTTTTTAGCTTTTCTAGATTATGTAAATTTTTATAATTATAAAACAATAAGTTGCCTTTATTATAATTTAGACAAAATAAGACGTAGTTTATCTGAAAGGTAGTAACACATTTCGGATATTCTGCCCCCACACATGTACTTGTCCTACATGTATTTCTATAAAAGGCAACAGAGTATAAAGAATAAGAATTTTTATCAATATAGTTCAAAATATTTACGAGTCATGATCGCATAAGAGAGGTAAGAAAAAATCGAAGGGGGAGTGGAGTAAATGAACCTTAACTCTAAAGTTAGATTACCAAGACAGTTCCGGGGTAATAACAAATATTCTTTAAACATTTAAAATAGGTTTAGACTCTTTGGTGGCTAAGATCTCAAAGAATTTAAATATATGACCCAAGCCATTTTTGTAAATGGGTCTAAAAGGCACTACTGAAATCAACTTCATTGCCAGTTGTTATGTTTAATCTTTTTCATGAATTCAAATTAACCTATTAAAAATAACCTTTTAGGCCACGTTCCGGTGTTGTAATAAGTATTGCCGCAAATGTTGCTTGTCTTCTGGGTGCTATGATTTATCCTTACATGCCTACAATTGGGAAACAGATTTGGATTGATCAATGTAACCTACCATTGTGCAAACTTACTTTTGTACAAATCATCAAAAAAGAATTCAGATTACAAAGGTTACTACCTGATGGTCATCGTATTGGGAAGGTTAGTTGTATTACTTAATGATAATAAAGTTTTATTTCTGACAAAATGTGAACACACTACAGAAATTTTCAGCGTATTCCCTTTTCTTACAGAATTTAAATGTAAAGTAATATCCTGAAGTATATCATATGACATATTGGTATTGCATATGAAGCGAGAAGCCATTCTGCATAGTTTTTTCTCTTCATTTTGCTTCAAGAAATGCATAGCGTTTTGCTAAAGGCTAATAAAATATGTGCGCAATTTCATGCAGTCATCATTTGATATAATCGCATGATTAAAATAATAGGAAATGAAGAAGAGTCTAGGCATTCTGATGGGTGGAATTTTCGGTAGCCCAGTGACTTAAACTGGTCGCTACACCGTACAAAATCTCATAGTTTGCGCGACGGTTAAGATACTAAACTGGCACCCAGGCCCAAAGCAGTTGGTTGTCTTTGTCTTGAAGCCTGATCCCTAAGGCAGTGAAGCTGTGTTCGCATGATTTCTGGTGATCCGTCCAGGTTCTAGAGCACATGTATACCATAGGTTTGGAACCAGGGTTTCCCGGCTCCCCTAGGTAGACCTGGATGTTCACCAGGTCTTATCCTGAGGAATACTCCTGCCGCGTGAAGGCTGTGAATAGGACCTAGCTGATAGAGGCTGTGAACACACGGTCACGTGAGAGCATTTTGAGAGGAAGACCGAAGTCTACTCACCCTCAGCCCCTTATCAGGTTGTTCATGTGTCATATATTCTCTTGGAATATTTCATTACAATATATTTAACTTGCTCGTGTGTGTGTGTGATCTAATTAAATGCCTGTTCAATGGCTAGAATTCATCAGTCTACTTTTAAGTATTTAAAATCGATTTCTCAAGCGAATAATTCCAAAGGTCATCCTAGTACTATCTAGGACAGCTCACCAAATATTCGTGAGTTTTATGACGATTTCTGGTTGACTCACTCCTAAACTTGGCTTAGCCTAATAACTAACGTGAAGCCCCGAAAATAGGGAAGGTTAAATGTGAGGGTAGCTATTTTACACCTTTAAAAAAGCACCACTGTTACTGACACTTCAAAACCTAAAGCCTGAGACCCTGTATTCCACGCGGAACACAGAAATGAAAAGAAGTTGCTTTTGAATTAAATGTCTTTACACTAATCTAACTGTTTAAACTACTGTGTTAAGGTTCATGTGTGCTTTCATTTTACCTCATTTCAATGTGCACTCGATTGTTACATTAGTACTGTTACATGTTCTTGTCATGTCGGTGATGATGTAATAATACTGCTGATTTGCTGTTTCAATACTTCTAAACGGGCGAGACCATCTAAATTAAGATAGAAAACAGAATGGTCCATGCCGATGGGAACCATTCGGCTTTATTATACAAAAGTATATTATGCACAAATATTTTGCACCTCGGGAAATTAAGCTAAAAATTAACCAATTACATTGGTTTCGTAAGGTCGGGCTTCTAGGCTGTCCAATCGTATCTGAATAGATATCTTGTCTTGATCCAGTAGTTTAGTTTGTGCATCCTGGTTGAAAGCTTGTCTAAGCTAGTTTTATCCTCTTTCTATCAGTTCTCATGTTAAGTTGGACAAAAATTTCCGATTTTTTTGTTATCACTATAATTTTAATTTACACAGAGGAATCACATGTATCTTACGTCTCGGAAATAAATAGTATGCATTTTTTAAAAACTGAAAACGTATTATATAAAACGTAGCAGCTGCGATACCTGATGAAACAGCGTACTACTAAATCTTATAACTTTATTATCGTTAAAGTGAATTGCTTCCACTTTCTTTTCATTTTCTTTTTCTTTCTTCTAGCCTGTTCCTCTATTCCGTAAGATAGAAGTTGATGAAATTAAGAAATTATCCAAAGTTCATGGTGGTGGTCAGTCTTCCGATGCACCAATTGTTAATGGTGCAAATCCTAAATAAAAGAAGAAATTTTTTATCAGCTTAACCATGTCATCTACTACAGCATTTCTCTGAACTTCTAATTTATTCAAAGTAAAATGTTAACCACCCCACATGCTGCTCACTACTTATATATTTGCTAAATATAAATGAACATATATGTATCAGTTGACTCCAAATGGATATCTAATACGCGTTCTTACTTACTGTAAACTATATCGAAAATTGCAAAATAAAGAATATGTACTACATGTCTAAACCAAGTTCACTTTTTTAGCAGTTTGAAAAAAAATTTGAGCATTGGGTATATGATATTCATTATAAAAAAAGGTTTTTTGTATTTTCCAATGAATGAAAAACAAAACGATATTACTGTTTTTACTAACGTTTCAATATTTTATGCTGCTAATAGCTTTATCAAAGCACTATTAAACCAGAATCTACAAAATTTCAGTTTATACATAACAACTTGATCATCGTTCCTCAGCATGGGGTCATTTTTGCGTTGTCAAGTTGGCCAATTAGTAAAGACAACAAAACCAGATGTAGATTGTTGGATTTGATAAGTGTATGAAAAACGTATCCCGAAAACATGGACCTCAACAGTTGTCATTCCATATAGAGCGGGGACGTCAGACGATATCAGAAGAATACTCAATAAGCTCGACATCAAAGTTTTCTTCAAAACACCAGACACACTGCGAAGCAACCTTGTCTATATAAAAGACTAAGTCCCTAAAGATTCTCCATCTAATTGTGTCTATAAAATAAAATGCCTGCTTGGAATGTGATATGATATACATCAGACAAACATCTCGAGAAATCAAAATCAGAAGAAATGGACATCGTTGAATATCTGTTCGGTCAGCAAGAAATTGGGTTGAACTAGAAAAGCTTGAAAAAATCAGCCACGCTATAGAATCAGGCCACAAAATTGATTTTGACAATATTGAAATAATCCGGAAAAATTTCAGAAATCGCAAGGGACGTCTAATATCAGAAGCACTTCATATCAAGTGGAATCCAAATTGTCTGAATAAGAATGATGGACTAAAACAGAATTCGACCTGGTTACAACACCCTCTCCTCCATGAAGTGACAAAGTCAACACGAATGTGATAATCAATTTTATTCTGTAAACACATGCTGCTTTTATAATCTTATACACTTATCAGTGGCTGAATGGTATACGAGTTGCCTTGTAACCGGAAGGTCCTGGGTTCGAATCCCAGTGGGTGCGTGCTGCCGATGATTCCCAAACTAGGATGACACAGCAGCTGTCCAGTACTCCCTGGTTTTTGCGTCGGTGGTTCAATGGTAGAATGCTCGCCTGCCACGCGGGCGGTCCGGGTTCGATTCCCGGCCGACGCACTCCGCTTTGCGTCGGTGGCACAGTGGTTAGGACTCTCGCCGACCATGCACATGGTTCGGGGTTCGATCCCCTGCCGGCGCACACCCGATATCTATGGTCGGCCTGAATTCGGGCTACCGATATCCATGCTGAAAATTCCACACATGTACTGAAAATACGGTGTGGAATCAAGCTGTAAATCAAAATAAAAAATAAATAAAATAAATCCAGCAATCTACACCTGGTTTTGTTGTCTTTACCAATTGACCAACTTGACAACGCAAAAATGCCCCCATGCTGAGGAACGATGATCAAGTTGTTATATATAAACTGACATCTCGTAAATTCTGGTTTAATAATACTTTGATAAAGCTACTAGTAGCATTAAATAGCGAAACGTTAGTAAAAGCAGTAATATCGTTTTGTTTTTCATTGATTGGGAAATACAAAAAACCTTTATTATAATGAAAGAATAAGGAATATAATAAGTTGATGTCACTGAAGTTTCTTATGTCATGTAGACATTTTCGGCTGAAGTTAAACTGTGCAAGCCACCTCTCAGAACCTTTAAAATAACCCTAAAGCTATCAATCATATCATTCGTCATGAATACGTTGCACTTACTCTTTTCATAGTTCTTTCTTGATCTGGTTTCCTAGTTTTGCCTAGATATTCAATTGTCGATTATGCTTAAGTGATAAATTTTATTACAGTGCTTCAGAAGAAATAAGGCAACATGTATATGTAGGAATATAATTTATTAATAAGTTTACCAATCTTCACATTTTCACAGCAATTATAGTATAACTGGCTCTTCAAGGTTATTTGGAAGGTACGTGTATAACACAATAAGCAGCAGTCACGCAAGGAAGGCAAGCGGAACACGAGCTCCGTAAGAGTGTGTATTTTGTACACTGTCGAGAATCAGAGTATGTCGGCCGAGCCCTCACAAACAAACAGTCTATTTGTCATAATTGATATCAAGTCCTGATAGAAGTTGTGCCTCTTGCTCCACAGAATGGATCCCTGGGTGTTTCCATGAAAAGAAGAATGGAGGACAATGTTAAATACTCTATCAATAACAGTTTTTATTTTGTTTCACTTGATAGTGGTTGCTGCAGTTGAACTTTGCTACATTTGCTTTAAATCCAAATTAATACAATGTTTGCTCTTATCCTGCAGAAGTCGGCAGACACCAATCAAGTTGTTGATGACGTATATTGTAAGCAAATCTCAACGCATTATATATACAATGTCACATAAAATATAAGCTTAACTGACTATCGAAGATACCGTTGCAGGCAGATCTGTTCCAGCAAACGCGATAGCGAGAAAATGCTTCACATGTTTTGGAGCAGGTAAACATTTAAAGGAATACCTTATGTCTTAAATAGGTCACCGAGTAATCAAGATTTGGTTGGAACTTCGTTTCTTTTATGTAGATTGCTACTGGTGCATACCAAATATGACTAAGTTTCACAACAAGGCTTTAATGATCTTTTGATCCTATGGATGACTAACTCATATAGCATCACTCTCGAATATATATATATATATATATACATAAAATCGCTATATATATATATATATATTTAGCGATTTTTCACCACACATCAAATAAAGTATCATGGGATAAGTGGAGAAGCTTTTGCGTTCCACATTGTGCATAAACTGGAGATGTTTGTTGATTTGGTGTTTATTAGCATCTCCGGTAAACGTTTCTATAGCATATTACCACCCATTTCCAGTTTCAGTGTTTCAATACCTAAATATATTCATCTGTATTTCACAAGTAGGCAGTTACCGTCCATATGTGGTTGTGAAGCTGAGAAAAGCAGTATTGTCTGTGTTTTTTTCTCATGAAAAGAGTCGGTGGGAATTTTGACTCGGTTTTCTGTAGAAATCTACTATGTTCTGAGAAATAACAGTAATCTGCATAGGACCCATAACTTCCCAACAACACAAGAAAATAGTGTCAAACTATAAGAAAGACAGTAGTGCTAGACAAACAATATCCACAGTTGTAAATAGTTGTACTACGATATTAAAAACAGGCTATAATGTCAGACCTATTGACAACACTTCTTAGGCAAAGTTAATAGAGTTCTTGATATTACTGTTTAATTGACGTTGTAGGGAAAGTCCGTTCAGATATTCATACCGGCGTGTCTTCATAGTTGTACTTTGCGTCCAATACATTGATGTATGAATGGTTAACACTACCAATGTAACCAAAAGCCGACTCAGCCGTATAAAAATCAAAGCGAATTAGAATACTGCTAGTGGATGGTAGTGACTCAAAGAAATAACTAAACAGATAGGTGAAAATCAGTCAGTTGGAGCTGATGTGACTGTACATCAAACTTCAATGATGTGTGTGTATGTAATCATGGGAGACTACGAAAAAAATTTGATAGATCAACAGGAGAGAAGTTGACACTTTCAACCTAATTTAAACGTCTTAATATTTGAACAGCCCTGACGTAAGCTTTGCGTTTTTTAATATTAATAAGAGTTCTTTGGTGAGGCATCAATGAACTGTGGGGTCATTTTTTGTGGTTATTTGTAACTGTTTATCTTAATTAATCATTGAACGGAGAGTACTTACCTCTGATTAAGTAACTTGTTTTGACGGAAGGGTAAGTTTGCTTTGATTAGCTGATATGCTTCAGTTGATGGGCGGCATCACTTAGTGGTGACTGCATTTTGAAGATATTTGCAAACTTTTTGACTGATAATTTCCGCTTTCAATTGTTCGAAGATTTCTTTCTCATTTGTTCGTTGATTACCATTATGACTATTCATATATCCCCCTGCTTCAAAATCCCTGACAGTTCGTGGCAAATCTCTTGGATTAACATTCTGCTGAAAAGTTTCTCATTGTTTTCGAAGCTCTCTCGAGCGGATGTGCAGTTGCAGTGACCACAATAAACTCTCACTCTCTATAAATGTCTCATTCTTTGCAATTCATCAATATTATGTAATATATATCTCTGGTGATGTGTATATCACACGCTAGAGATGAGAAGCCTATTGATTTAGACAGACTGCGTAATAATTACATGTAACATTAGATGGTTGGAGGCAGTCATCAGGAAGCCCCTGGACCTAGGTTTCCTAATTATTGGCACTTACCGCTCTGCAAGGCGTATCTGCAATTTTGGAGGAACTTATGTCCCTTCTGGGATCCGACCCATATCACGCAGTACTGCCGTCAGTGAGGTATTAGACACATTGACTGGACACCAACTAGTGTCATGTGTCTAGTTCTTTGTTTGGTGCAGCCTGAATTCTACAAGTCAATCTTGCAACGTGGCCAACATGTCAGATGGCTGTTTATCGCAGTTAACTCAGAATTGTTGTAGGAAGTCTTGGACCTAGGTTCCATACATATAATTCTGATTTCAGTGTGTCTAGTGCATTACATAACGCACTGGTGTTCACTGTGCATATAGCAGCTGTCAGTCACAAGAAGTTATCTTTGGATTACAAGCTTCTGGTAATAATTCACTTACTGTGTTCCGAGTAGAACATGAGGTCTCAGCGACATATTTCCATTTACAGTTGCTTACGGTAAGTGCCTCCGTTGAAGCGCAGGCTAAGACTCTAAACCAAATAGGAGCATTCACATGGCAATAATAATGGTAATTCTGAACATGTCTGTTGGTTTCGCTAGTTACTGTGGATATCCAATATGATCTCAAAGTAATGGATGCTTATTTCGAATTTTGGGTGCCATTCTTTCTGGCTCTGACATCCTCATTTGTGCCATCTGTATATGAAGAGACCTCTACCTAGGTAAAAGAAAAAGAATACCTCCTTTGGATTTTTTCCACTGATGGTGATTGCTACTTCTTTTGTTGGTTTGATATCTTCGTCATCTCTCTTCTCTTGTTCACTTGAAGT